AAACACACACACTACAAAATCGTATTACACACTGGTGCAATAAATTCAAAACAATATATCCAAAGCTGGTAAGTTATGTTGCTTGTGGTTCTCCCCCTCAAAAACCTTTTCACATGAACACAAAAGACACAACCAATGTATACATTGGCACATTTTTATTCATTCATGTACTACACAGCACAACTGTAAAAAAAACATAATAATAATTTCCGCCTCAGCATCCCGTCTTTGTTCTGGGTCAGGCCAGAGAATCTAGTCCACATCACAGGCTATATTGGCCCTAGCCAGGCAGCGAGGGTAAAATCCTCTTGCATGCCTGATCCACCCCTGGCATGCATCTACTGATATGTCTAGGCAGGCTTGCCTTCCTCATAGCCATACCATGGACAAGGACATGGTCAACTAAGGTTGCTCGAATTTCATCTGAGACTGCTTGTCTCTTTGCCCTTCTTCTCCCTCCTCCTCCTTCACCACGTCCTCGTCCTCTCCCTCCTCCTTCACCACATCCTCCTTCTCTCCCTCCTCCTTCACCACGTCCTCTTCCTCTCCTTCCTCCTCCTCTTCCTATTCCTCTTCGACCTATTCCTTCATTTCTCTGTGGATCCATTTTTCCAAAGCTCAGTGAACTGAGCCCTTTTATCTATTTATTGAAGGATCTGATTGATGTGTGTTCAATTTTGACCCTTAGTGTTTCCACCTGGGTAACTGTGTGCTAATTGAGCTCAAGCTATGCTGACTTGAGTGAACAGTATTGAATGCTAGTGCTTTCTAAGAGTTTTGCAGTAACAGTTCACCAAATCTGACTCATGTGTTAAAGCAGGGGAATAGTGTTTATAGTTCAGCAAGATGGGTGTGCTTTTTGAAAAATGGCGTTATGGTTTTGAAATTTTAGTTCAAAAGCCTGGTTATAGTGTTTTAGCAATCGAGAAGAACTGTATTAGGTTGTGGATTTAAATGTATATTAAGGCATTCTCAAAGACTACTCTTTGTCAAGGTTTATATTTTTTGTTGTTTTAAATGTTGATTTGAAGTGTCAGTTTTTTGAATAGTGTGTGTGTGTGTGTGTGTTGGTGTGTTGATTTTGCACTCTAGATGTTTTAGAGTTTCACCCCTTCATTTTTTCTGCATCGTAGGGGATTGGTAGATTGTACACCCAAAAATATGCTGTATTTTCAGTTGTTTTGCCATTTCCCATTCATTTCCTATGGTTGGTCATTTTTGACCGAAGACCATAAGTGTGACTATTTTTTTATGAGCACTTAGCTTTTTTGAATTATGCCCTCAATTTTTTGTGTGTTCACATACCAAGTGCCATAAAAGTCACCAAGTTTCGTACCATTCCAATGAAGCTACGATTTTTAACATTTCAAAATGTAAAATTTTTCGGTCAAAAGTGATTTTTAGGGTTTTGAAAGGGCTTTTAATATTAAGTGACCTACATTTTAGACACAATGTTGTCAATGTTGATTGTTTTTCTCGATTTGGTTAACAAAAACAGTTCCAAACAAAGATCACAGCACAGCTGTGACAAAAAAGAAAAGAATACAGAATCAGTAAATAAACCAGACAGAGAAAAGGGGAATGATAAACTCCTGAAGGCGTTCATAGTTTCTCCTTGCACTGTACCCTTATGTATGGCCCAGAGTAGAGACCTGCACTCCCACGGGAGTACCGCAGGACCCGCGGGACCCAACACAACAGAGTGCGGCGTGGGGCAACTCTTGATGGGCGAGTGCGGCTGCGGGCGGGAAGAGACTCGTGTGTGTGCGGGATGCGGGAGAATAAAATGATTCGCGGGACTCCCGCAATATAGAAATTATCTAAACATAAAGTGTCTAAAACATAAACATTTTTATTTATCTGTTGCACTAAAGCAAAAAGAACAACTAATAGCTATTAACATTAAAATGATTGACATGCGCAAGCTAGGCAGAGTTTCTATTTATAACACGTGTTTAAATATAGATTACTTTTATGCAGGCGGGAGCGGGACAAAACATGAATGTCACGGGCGGGAGCGGGACCAGATAAGATATATTTCTGCGGGAGCGGGCGGGCGCGGGACAGAATCTTGCGGGAACGGGCGGGAGCGGGACTGAAAAATCCGTCCCGCGCAGGTCTCTAGCCCAGAGCACCTCACAACACACCTTTCCTTACTAAAAGATTCGGCATTTTTGAATGAATTGGGTGAGTCAATGATTCAATAAACCCAATTATAAAGACATTCTTGGGCTCATAACATTTATGCAGATGTAACTTTGCGTTGTTAATGCATTTCAGCATCATTAAACTGTCTGTGTACAGTAAATGTATCTAAATGCCATTAACCTAATGTGTCTAAATATAATAACTGAAATTATTAATAAAATGTAAGAATTTGATATAAAAGATGACACATTTAATAAGGAATAAAACTGCCATTTATATAGACAAAAAAAAAAAACTGTAAATCAATTTTAGTAAATTATAGTATGCAGTAAATTTAATCATAAAAAAATATAATTTCCCAGCAACAAAATTTTATGAAAAAAAAAAAAAGTTCATGTCAAGCCCTGTGTATGTTAGCTTAGTAAGTCATTTCTGCTGGCATGATTTTCTGTCATTTTGTACTGATAAAAGCTAAAGATGTTTATATCTTTCCTTGTCTCCCTTACTCCCAAAACAAGCACAGATATGCCACGCTTAGCGGTGATGTTTTCCTGAACAGCAGCGAAGAGTGTTTAAACACGGCTTTAATCTGGATCAGGGCTAATTATCATCGCTCTCAGCCTGAGAGAAGTTCCTCATTATTACACACGATTGGTTCCCGACATGCTTTTATTAAGCAACAGAAAAGAAGCTGCTCTCTCTCAGATTAGGTTCAAGCTCCAATTATGCCGTAAAATATTCAAATCTCGTCCTTCAGTGATTGAGGAGTTCACAGGCGGGTGAGAGAGATAGCTGCGCTTCCGTCCTACAATGAATAATGCTTTATTGACAGTGATGGTTATGAGAAATGACCCTGGCAGCTTTAAAGATCAAATGAAACAGTGCTGATATGTGGCCTTCGGTTGAAGGAGGTGGTTTTGAGATGACTGGATATTAGCTGCATAGGCAGCATGTGCTCTTTTACATCATTGTTAGCACTGTTTGTGTGATCGGTGCTACTGCGCCCGTTCTAACATCGGCAGCTTATTTTCTAATGTCGCAAGTTGTCTAATTTGTTAGGATAAATGTAGCTAAATGAAATTAGAATTCCCTGGCCACTTCCTTGTTTGGCTCTATTGAATTATGACCGTGTGGTAATTGACTGAGATTGGAAGGGAAATCAAACAGTGTCGTCTTTGCCCCAGGGAGGAAGAAGACAAGTAGGTTTAATATCAAAGTCTGGCCGCTTGTCTTTCTGTGGTTAGTTTGCCAATCATTGGTGAGGTCTCTCAGCGAAATGTGCCGCCACTCTCTTAGAGTGATTTAATGGCAGCTGTGATATGCTTCTCTCTGAAGCAGAGATCATATTTACTGATCTGAGCCCGAGACAATAGATCCACGCAGAGCATCTCACAGCCTGCGGCTTTCAGTCCAGAGCACAGGAAACCATTCTCTTTGATGAATAAGGCTAGTGACAGAATCGAACCCGGGGCCAGCGGGAATGATCCTGGCTATTTCTTTTTGGGATATCTCAGAATTGACAGAAAGCGATACTTTTAAACATCATGTGATTTTTCAAATGTATTTAGAATGTTAGTTTATGTGCAGTTTAATATGGCACATGGTCAGCATGTTGATTAGATGTTAGGTTGAATCTCACAAAAATAGTTAATGCCAAAATCAAAAGAAAAAAAGCCAGTGAAGACAATGAAGCACCCCATATGGCAAAAAACATATATATTTAATATTTATTATACTATACTAAATATTATAATATAATGTAATATAAATATACTAATATTTAATTTAAAAAAATATATATATATTATATATATTATTTTAAATATATTTAAAATATACTTCAAAATATATTTGTTCTACCAATATCTTTTTTGGCCATTTTTTTGTATATTTTTTAATTTCCCCTCATACGATTATAAAGCGCTTTGGGTGTATAGCAATACACAATGAAAGCGTTATATAAATACCTAATTCATTCATTCATTCATTCATATTTTTGAAAATATAATTTTTTTTAAATGAAAAATACATTTTGTGCTATGTATTTCAATCAAAGAAAATATATTCACGTATGTCACATTTGAAGAAAAACTTTATTTGTTATCTGTAACATGCATGAAAATATATCACATTTGAATAAAATTCAATTAAAATAATATTCCTTCCACATTTGCATTTACTCTAAATGTAGGCTACTATAAGATTGGAAATGTATTTTATTGCCCCTGAAATACATTTTGCAAAACATTTTGATATATGAGGGTTGAAACTAAATATTTAAACTAATATTTAAACTATTTGCCATACATTTAAAATACACAAAAATACACATATATTTTGTCTAAAAAAAATAAAAAATTAAATAAATAATATATATTGCGGCATGGGACATTTCTCACCACAATTCTCGTTATTGTTATTTAATGAAATGCTTTTTTTTCTCTACTGTAACATCGCAAGCAATAAGTGTTTAAGTGCTCATATAGAATACAAGAGCATTATTCCTCTTCTCTCTTTCTGTTGATGTTACTGCTGTGCAAACATGGGAGGTCTGGAGGAGTGAGACTGCTGATCTGAAACAGATGGGCTGTTTAATGTAAACTCTTGGAAAACAAACACATTAGCATCAGCTGCTCTCAAAGCAATCGCTCCTCAGAGTCAGTCATGCCTCACTCATTCTGTTACTCATGTTAGAGTATTGAGTATTTGTTAGAGTAGAGTATTTTTTTAGTATTTTAGGTCTTAGCCAAAGACACTGACAATCACAACCCATAAACATGTATGTATTGAAGTGATGCATGTTTAGACAGAAGATTTAGTTTTAACCCTATTGCTGTGTGTGTTGTCTGCAGAACTCCAGTGCGGATCACCGCGTGCGCCTGGATCTGGGTCTCTGGGACAAGTTCAGTGAACTGGCCACTAAGTGCATTATTAAAATCGTGGAGTTTGCCAAACGAGTTCCTGGTTTCACTGGACTCACTATCGCCGATCAGATCACACTGCTCAAAGCCGCCTGCCTCGACATATTGGTATGTGCAAGTGTGTGTGTGTGTGTGTGTGTGTGTGTGTGCTCAACTATCATGACTATCATGCAACCATACAGTTTTATACACAACTCAAAACAGCATAAAACAGAACATGACTGTTTATTTTAAATATAATAAATATTAAATAATATATTTACATTTTAAGTGTATTATTTATAACTGAATATTATACAAGCTGTTTCATAAAAATAAATAAATTTAATTCAATAAAAAGCAATAAAAAAAGTAGGGATGCACCCGGTATCGGGCCTGATACTGAGCTCCTGTACTCGTACTCGTACTTGTTAAAATGCCCCGATACCAAACGCCGATACCACACAGCA